CTCTCCCAGAGACTCGCGAGATTACGCAGGGCCTCTCTCTGTCCCTCTCTCTCTCTCTCTCTCTCTCTCTCTCTCTCTCTCTCTCTCTCTCCCTCTTTCTCTCTCTCTCCCTCTTTCTCTCCCCCCCCTCTCTCTCTCTCTCTGAGAGTCTCGAGACAGACGAAAAAACTTAGTCCGATAAGGCGGTCGTCGTCGATGAAGGTTTATCGCATCGCGACTTCTCTTCTCCATCCGAGCCTCCTCGGTCCGGTCGCTTCGCGGAGGGTCATCTGTGTCCGTCGCTAACGTTTTGCTCTCTTGAATCCGACGGGAGACTGTTTGCACGGTTTTCGTCACGAGTGGATCCGTCTGAGAGGCTATCTTTCCGATTCGGCCGTGCATTCGCACGAAATTTATCGGGCTAATGGTGTTTGCCCGAGGAAGAAAATTAGCTTGCGACCTGTACCGGTGTCTTTGAACCGTTCAAACAGAGCGAAACCGCTCCAAACGGTGTCCTTGGGGCAATTAGGCGAATAGGTCGAGATGCCAGTTCGCTCGATTTTCCTGATTCCGCGACAGTCAGATAGCGAGATTCGCGAATTAATTCGCCGAGGATCGGCACAGTGCAAGAACGATCCGATCATTTATTTGTTTATTCATTATTATTCCCGGATTGTATCGCGTTAATATATTCAAGAATTACGTAGGCGATACGAAGGAAGTCAACAAATTGTATTCGTTAAAAACTCGGTGTCATACGATTTATCTGACACCGATGCTCCAATGTCCAGAGGTCAATCGAAAGCGGGGATCGCGAAAAGCGGAAATTCGAAAGATTCCGTGGACACCTGTAAAACAATAGAAAACAACCGACGCAGAAACAATTATGCGATCGAAGGGAATCGGCGCGCAAAATGTCGGCGTCTCTCGAACGATCCGGCTACAATTACGAATTCCAGTCGCGTGCGTGTTCGCGATTGCACGCGCGGCGTGTCGGAACACACACGGCCGATCGCAGAGGGCCGCGAGCAATCCGCGCCGCGCATCTCGCACACAAACGCGCGGGGACGCACACGTTCGCGAGCAGATCGAACGCAGGCACACACACACACACACACACACAAACAAACACACACCAGCCAGTTCTCGACTCAAATTTCGCATGCCGTTCGACACGTGCGCCGAAACGCGCTGCGCCGCGCCGCGTCGTCGGTTCCCCTCGCGAACAGAGAGAAGAGCTAGATGGTACCAGGGGGGTGGAAAAGAGAGCCACCTATGCCCGAGGGGTTGCTCGAGCTTCCTACCAGGCATTTGTTTAATTGGGAACCGACATGGCCGCCGGGGCCACCCCTGCGCGAGCCCTGCCGCCCCATCTCCACGACCGCATCGCCCTGGAAATGCGCGGCCGCACGTGCGCCCGCTTTTCCACCCCCTGACCTTGATCTTTTTTCCTCGATTTTTCGCAGCCGCGTACGCGCGACATTCCGCCGACGAGTCCGGCGATCGAGGCCGACGATTTAGTCCGACGATCGACGCCGATGCTCGCGGTCGACGCGCCGCGATTTAGGGGATGATGGATCCTCGATGACGGCTTCATTATTCGGGGTGATCCGACCTCGAGGTTTACCCACCGGGTCCCATCCTCTGTTACGGATGATGGAATCGTTCGTCGCGCTCCTTTTTTGTCAACGTCGCCTGGAAAATTCCACGCGCGAGCACGTCGAAGCGTTTTAATAGAAGCCCCGAACGTCTTTGAAATCTTTCCGGCAATTACCCGCGGCGATAAAAATATCCGCGGCCGCGGATAATCGTTCGACGTCGGTTATATTATCCGATTCGAAAGTATGCGATTAAATGGCCGTGAGTCACTGCGTCTGCCGACGCTTCCTCCATCCATTAAACCGCGCCGAATGTATTCGCCGATTGTCTGCTTTGCAGTTTCGACGCGCCGCGTTACGTAAATGTTATCTCGTTTATTTAATTCCATGCCCGGCAAACGTCTAACGACGAGTCATCGCGCGCCGCTGCATCGTTAATCGCCGTTAGCGTCCGTCGAGAGTGTTTGCCGGCACAGACCGCGAACAAGTTTACGCGCTGTTTAGCCTCGTTTTTAATTGCTCGCACGGTTTCCAACGTAGCGGCATTCCGACTAGACATTTTCGTACGAAGTTACGCATCGAAAATCGATCATCCGGCTGGAACACAACCGGAAACGAAAATTCCGCAGCAACTCCGCGCTAAAAACCACGCGGTAGACGAGGCGGATTTCAGGCAGCCGCGGAGAACATTTTTTCGGCGATGCCTTGGAAGCCTCGCGAGCATCCCCTATCATCCCCTTTCGCGTTGTCGCGCAAGCTGTTATCGGCTGCGAGCGAGTTCTCGTGGGTGCGACCGCGGAATTTTCGCCCGGCAACATGGCCGCCGCAGCGAACCCCACCCCACGCAAAGTTTCCCTTTCGCCGGAGCGGGGCGGGGGGAAGGGGCGAGAGGGGGCCCGCAGACCATATTCGGGGCGCGTTTTACGCACTGCGTATATCATTATCGCGAGTTCATTTCTGCTCGGTTACCCCATCGACGCGGACTAAACGACGGATCAAAGTGGAACGAGCGCAACTGTAATTCGGTCTTTGCGGGATTTCAGGGAGCCGGCGGAGGGAGGAGAAGAGAGACCAGCTTTGTTCGTGGAACTATAAAGTATACGGGCCGTTTCCGGGGGAGCATATGGCGGGACAAGGCGTGGATCTATGTCATTTAACGCTACTGTTTGGAGGGCCGCGTTCTCTCGAGAAGGTGAAAGACTCTCTCGAGCCGCAGGATCAGGCGAATGACTCGTTGCTGATCCTTTTCTCTTACAATTCCTGATATCGTAAAAATGTTTTCGTTAGAAATGCTTGCACGAAATTCTTCATTGAAGCACACATTGTAATACACATCGTAGACAATTTAAATAAATTCAATCTTGTCATTGTTGTAAGACAATATAGTCACGTTTAAGGCTCGATAGTTCTAAGGTTAATCCTTTGCACTCGAAGCCATTTTAACTGTAAATTTGAAACAATTTTTCTGACTTATAGTATCTCCATTTTATATGACGAAGTGCATTTTATGCATACGAAATTTGTGTCCCGCGGTGACTCGTACAACAGTTACGCTTTTAACAATTTTTTAAATCTGAATTTTGTTGGTATAAAAATTATCTTCCAACATGATATAACAATTTCAGTGGTGCCTCGGAGTGCAAAGGGTTAATACAGTGGAACCATCAAACCAGTCAAAACGAGTCTCTGAGATCTTCTCTTACGACTCCTGATATTGTAAAAATGTTTCTATTAGAAATTCAAGCTTCGATAGTTCTAGCGTTAATACACCAGAATCATCAGACCAGTCAAAATGAATGTCTGAGATTTTTGTTACGATTCCTGATATTGTAAAAATGTTTTTATACAATATAATCACACTTAAGGCTCGGTAATTCTAGCGTTAATGTTAATATACTGTGACCATCAAACCAGTCAAAATGAATCTCGGAGATTTTCTTCTACCATTTTTAATATTGTACAAACGTTTCTATTAGAAATTCTTAGACAAAGGACTTTATCCAGACGTACGTTGCAATAGAAATCAGACGAAGTTGAACGCAGAATCTACCACCACCGATCAGACCACCGAATTCACGTTATTATTACGAAACGTGGCGTTTCGATCGAGTATTGAACTAGAAAGATAGATTCAATGGTCGATTAGGATGCACAGGTCACCGAAAAATTCAGCAGACAGCTTCTAAGAACGCTGACATTTCGGCGGGGTGACGCAAGCTCCAGTGGAATTCCTCAGGAATCCTTGCTTACACTGGCAGCCGATCACACAGTTCTAAACCGGCAACGAAGAAATCAGGATTAATCGTTTGAGCTGTGCCGAAAGAAAGATTCTGACATGCATCGATCGTCGTACTAACGTTAGTGCAGGTCTGCGGATGGGGTTTGCTGCAAGGGAGCGGACAAGCTGTTCCGCAGGATACGAACTTCTCGTTCGCGCCTCACTTATCGTGTTGCTGCTCCGTCGAACCTTGAAGAAATTACACATATTGAAGGTTCAGAATTCTCGGGTCGCTCTCATCAGAGAGTAAAACTCTCGACAGTTGTTCCACAGGCTGTCCCAAAATTATGCTACTTCCGAGAAATGATAGTTTCCACGAGTCATTTGAAACAACTTTTTCCTTAGCGAAAATGCAATCCGCGGCTTCGTTTACGAGTTATTAGCGAAAAACACTGACCAATGAGAGGCGAGCTCGGTTGGCGCGTGGCGGCCGAGCCAACGAGCCGAGCACGCCTCTGATTGGTCACTGTTTTCCGTTAATAACTCGTAAACGAAGCCGCGGATTGCATTTTCGCTAAGGAAAAAGTTACTTCAAATGACCTCAGGAACCCTCCATTTCCGGTTTACGAGACACTTTTGGGACACTCTATACAGCAAATGTCGAGAGTATTACACTTAGATGGACACCTGCTTTAACACTGAGCTCGGTCGGAATCCTCTGAACGTGGAAACGTCCCTCGAACACCGCATCAAGAAGTCAACTCGATCTCTCTTACTTACTAGTGGAGGACACTGCCAGAACGGCGAGTAGAACGAAAACGAACCGAAGACGGAACATCGTTGCACTGTTTCCTAGACACCGTCTGATCGACAATAAAGCACGCGGAAACCAGCTGCCTTTTATATGCATTGCGCGGTTGCGTCAGTCTACCATTGCTGTATCGATCGTAAGAAGGACATCATCGGGCCAGTACATACTTGCGTTAATCAATGGCATCGATCGGACGCGCACGATAGATAGTAATCGGGATCATATTTCCTCGCAGTTTCCCCCGTTTCGTGAGACTATTCTCGGACTTAATAAGAGCATTCATTACTCGATAGAATTTCAAAAGCCGTACCGATCCGACGCCTCGATCTTTTCCTACGATCGCGCGGCACGAGACTCGCAATTATCTTGATTAGAATAGAACGAGAATAAAACGAATGTGAAATGCCAGCGATTATTTATTCGCATGTCGAGACGTTACACTTTGGCGTGTGGTCCAAGCAGAAAGTGACATTCCTGGATCGAATGTCGGTGATGAACCGGTCGTCGACGAATTAGGCAGACCTAATATATTGGGCAAACTGGGACACAAGCTCCGGCGGCGCTTCTCCGGCGGAATCCTGGCTTACACTGGCACCCGGCTACGCATTCCTAAACAGATAGCAAAGAAATTAGGATTTAATCGAGAGAAAGATGCTCGTTTGCTTTCAATATTCTACTAACCACCAGGCAGATAGGGCGATGCTCATTGCAAGAGGGTGGGCAAGCTGGTCCGCAGGTAGTGTAGAATTCATTCGGGCCGCATTTCGGAGCTGACGAGACTTGAAGTACTTAAACAAATTGTCAAAATTAATCAAATTCATCGAGCTCGCTAAGAGAACACTCTCAAATTCTTATTAGTCTTTTACTTACTAGCAGAGTTGATCGTCAGAACGACGACAAGAAGTATGAAGACGAAGTGAAAGCGGGGCATTTTAGCGGTGTTTTCTGCACAGCTTATGGTTCTATACTAAAGCTCACGAAGACCAGTTTAACTATTACATAGCACCATTACGTCGGTCTAACGTTATATGCATCGCAAGGAGGTCATCAGCATTTTCGTTAACTATTATCATCGAACAGCGTAATTGCATAGCAGAATTCGTTGTTTCCGTTGTCCTTTGTGTTCAGTAAATCTATTATCGGTGATAATATGCACATTCGTATCTGCATACAATGGTCCGAGTTTGAAACGCGATAACCTCTTCAAAACTGCTCGTGATCTAGTAGACCAGTCCCTCGATCGTTTAAAAAGAATTCAAGTCATTCGCGATTAGAAATCGGAATGACTTGTGTTAACAGAAATGCATTATTGAAATGCATTGAAGTACAACGTTTACTTATTCGCATGTCGAGACGTTACATTTCGGAGGAGCGTCCAGTCGGAAAGAGAGGATCTCGGAGGATCAATCTGGATCGACGGATCATCGACAAATTAAATTGCAAGGTGACGCGATCTCCAATGGAGTTCCTCGCGGAATTCGCATTGCACTCGCAGCTGAGTATACAGAACTAGACCGAAATCGAAGAAATCAGGATTGATCGACTGCACTGTGCCGAGAGAAAGATGCTCACTTACTCCGAACACTGTTGTGTGTAAGTGCAATTATTCTGATTGGGATTACTGCAAGTGGGTTCGCAAGCTGTTTCGCAAACATTTAACCACGCGTTCGGGCCGCAGCTCGGCTCTGTTAAGCATCGAAGCAGATTAAACAAATTGAAGGTGAGACACACTGACCGAGCTGACGAAGAACACTCGCAACGATATCGACGTCGCTCGAGCCCATCGCTGATCGAGACGTCGATCGAGAGTCGACTTAAACTCTCATCTTTATCAGAGTCGTTCACTTACTAGCAGAGGTCATTGCCAGAACGACGAGAAGTGCGAAGACGAAACGAAAGCGGAACATCGCAGCCCTGTTTTCTGGACAGCTTACGGCGGACACTAAAACTCGCGAAAACTAGTTACTCGTTATGTATAGCGCCCTACGTTGGTCTAACGTTATATGTATGCGTAGATTGTAAGAAGGCCAACAGTCAGCATTTTCGTATTGACCAATAACATCGACCAGCGTAATGCATTGCAAAATTATTTATTCTCGTGTCTAGTTAAACTATCATCGGAGATAGTGGTTTTACACGTTTTAAAATGCAATCTCAACCTTTTTATCTGAGCCTGTAACAAAAATTTAAAAACTGGCAATCGAAATCGGTTGACGTTGTTGCGGTCTGCAACAAAAATTAAAGAGATTGCTGAAATCGTAGTTTTCTCACAATTTTTGATACTTTTGACTAAAAGCTGTATAAATGATCGGCAGTTTTGTCAATCCTTCAACTCCTGTAGCTGGACTCTTAATCCATCTATTTGCTAAATATTCGTTACAGGCTCAGATAAAAAGAAATGAAAAACGAAAGTTTTATTTATTTTGACATTCCAAGTAATAGCTAAATTTTAAAAAGGCGTTTCAGTTATTTTTTGTAGACTAGTATAAAAGAAATCGTATAAAAGAAATTCAAATCGTTTAGTCCAATTTTTAAAAAAAAGTAATTTCATTTTAAAAGATATACAATTTTGCGAACTCCACGAACACTATTATATAATAAATATATAATTGTATATATTATATAAATACAATTGTAACATATCATCATTAATGCATTAATGATCGTGTGTTGGAGTATTAACACAATCAAATTAAGAAGCATTAAAATTATTTATTTATATTTATTCACATGTCGCGGTATTACACTTTGAAGGAGAGATCGTGCAGAGAGCTCGAAGAATCACTATGGCTGGACAGATCATCGACAAGTTAGGTAGACAGCAGACAATAACTCTAACACTTTTGTGAGGTGACACAAGATCCAGCAGAATTCCTCAGATATCCCGCCTCACACTGGCAGCCGATCACACAGTTCTAAACCGGCAACGAAGAAATAAGGATTAATCGTTTGAGTTGTGCCGAAAGAAAGATTCTGACATGCTTCGATCGTCGTTCTAACTTTAGTGCAGGTCTGCGGATGGGGTTTGCTGCAAGGGAGCGGACAAGCTGTTCCGCAGGATACGAACTTCTCGTTCGCGCCTCACTTCTCGTGTTGCTGCTCTGTCGAACCTTGAAGAAATTACACATATTGAAGGTTCAGAATTCTCGGGACGCTCTCATCAGAGAGTAAAACTCTCGACAGTTGTTCCACAGGCTGTCCCAAAATTATGCTACTTCCGAGAAACGATAGTTTCCACGGGTCACTTGAAACAACTTTTTCCTTAGCGAAAATGCAATCCGCGGCTTCGTTTACGAGTTATTAGCGAAAAACACTGACCAATGAGAGGCGAGCTCGGTTGGCGCGTGGCGGCCGAGCCAACGAGCCGAGCACGCCTCTGATTGGTCACTGTTTTCCGTTAATAACTCGTAAACGAAGCCGCGGATTGCATTTTCGCTAAGGAAAAAGTTGTTTGAAATCACCTCAGGAACCCTCCATTTCCGGTTTGCGAGACACTTTTGGGACACTCTATACAGCAAATATCGAGAGTATTACTCTTAGATGGACACCTGCTTTAACACTGAGCTCGGTCGGAATCCTCTGAACGTGGAAACGTCCCACGAACACCGCATCAAGAAGTCAACTCGATCTCCCTTACTTACTAGTGGAGGACACTGCCAGAACGGCGAGTAGAACGAAAACGAACCGAAGACGGAACATCGTTGCACTGTTTCCTAGACACCGTCTGATCGACAATAAAGCACGCGGAAACCAGCTGCCTTTTATATGCATTGCGCGGTTGCGTCAGTCTACCATTGCTGTATCGATCGTAAGAAGGACATCATCGGGCCAGTACATACTTGCGTTAATCAATGGCATCGATCGGACGCGCACGATAGATAGTAATCGGGATCATATTTCCTCGCAGTTTCCCCCGTTTCGTGAGACTATTCTCGGACTTAATAAGAGCATTCATTACTCGATAGAATTTCAAAAGCCGTACCGATCCGACGCCTCGATCTTTTCCTACGATCGCGCGGCACGAGACTCGCAATTATCTTGATTAGAATAGAACGAGAATAAAACGAATGTGAAATGCCAGCGATTATTTATTCGCATGTCGAGACGTTACACTTTGGCGTGTGGTCCAAGCAGAAAGTGACATTCGTGGATCGAATGTCGGTGAATTAGGCAGACCTAATCTTTTGGGCAAACTCGGACACAAGCTCCGGCGTCGTTTCTCCGGAATCCTGGCTTACACTGGCAGCCGGCTACGCATTCCTAAACAGATAGCAAAGAAATTAGGATTTAATCGAGAGAAAGATGCTCGTTTGCTTTCAATATTCTACTAACCACCAGGCAGATAGGGCGATGCTCATTGCAAGAGGGTGGGCAAGCTGGTCCGCAGGTAGTGTAGAATTCATTCGGGCCGCATTTCGGAGCTGACGAGACTTGAAGTACTTAAACAAATTGTCAAAATTAATCAAATTCATCGAGCTCGCTAAGAGAACACTCTCAAATTCTTATTAGTCTTTTACTTACTAGCAGAGTTGATCGTCAGAACGACGACAAGAAGTATGAAGACGAAGTGAAAGCGGGGCATTTTAGCGGTGTTTTCTGCACAGCTTATGGTTCTATACTAAAGCTCACGAAGACCAGTTTAACTATTACATAGCACCATTACGTCGGTCTAACGTTATATGCATCGCAAGGAGGTCATCAGCATTTTCGTTAACTATTATCATCGAACAGCGTAATTGCATAGCAGAATTCGTTGTTTCCGTTGTCCTTTNCTATTATCATCGAACAGCGTAATTGCATAGCAGAATTCGTTGTTTCCGTTGTCCTTTGTGTTCAGTAAATCTATTATCGGTGATAATATGCACATTCGTATCTGCATACAATGGTCCGAGTTTGAAACGCGATAACCTCTTCAAAACTGCTCGTGATTTAGTAGACGAGTCCCTCGATCGTTTAAAAAGAATTCAAGTCATTCGCGATTAGAAATCGGAATGACTTGTGTTAACAGAAATGCATTATTGAAATGCATTGAAGTACAACGTTTACTTATTCGCATGTCGAGACGTTACATTTCGGAGGAGCGTCCAGTCGGAAAGAGAGGATCTCGGAGGATCAATCTGGATCGACGGATCATCGACAAATTAAATTGCAAGGTGACGCGATCTCCAATGGAGTTCCTCGCGGAATTCGCATTGCACTCGCAGCTGAGTATACAGAACTAGACCGAAATCGAAGAAATCAGGATTGATCGACTGCACTGTGCCGAGAGAAAGATGCTCGCTTACTCCGAACACTGTTGTGTGTAAGTGCAATTATTCTGATTGGGATTACTGCAAGTGGGTTCGCAAGCTGTTTCGCAAACATTTAACCACGCGTTCGGGCCGCAGCTCGGCTCTGTTAAGCATCGAAGCAGATTAAACAAATTGAAGGTGAGACACACTGACCGAGCTGACGAAGAACACTCGCAACGATATCGACGTCGCTCGAGCCCATCGCTGATCGAGACGTCGATCGAGAGTCGACTTAAACTCTCATCTTTATCAGAGTCGTTCACTTACTAGCAGAGGTCATTGCCAGAACGACGAGAAGTGCGAAGACGAAACGAAAGCGGAACATCGCAGCCCTGTTTTCTGGACAGCTTACGGCGGACACTAAAACTCGCGAAAACTAGTTACTCGTTATGTATAGCGCCCTACGTTGGTCTAACGTTATATGTATGCGTAGATTGTAAGAAGGCCAACAGTCAGCATTTTCGTATTGACCAATAACATCGACCAGCGTAATGCATTGCAAAATTATTTATTCTCGTGTCTAGTTAAACTATCATCGGAGATAGTGGTTTTACACGTTTTAAAATGCAATCTCAACCTTTTTATCTGAGCCTGTAACAAAAATTTAAAAACTGGCTATCGAAATCGGTTGACGTTGTTGCGTTCTGCAACAAATTAAAGATTGCAGAAATCGTAGTTTTCTCACAATTTTTGATATTTTTGACTAAAAGCTGTATAAATGATCGGCAGTTTTTTCAATCCTTCAACGCCTGTAGCTGGACTCTTAATATTCGTTACAGGCTCAGATAAAAAGAAATGAAAAACGAAAGTTTTATTTATTTTGACATTCCAAGTAATAGCAAAATTTTAAAAAGACGTTTTAGTTATTTTTTAGTAGACTAGTATAAAAGAAATCGCATGAAAGAAATTTAAATCGTTTAATTCAATTTTTAGAAAAAGTTATTGCATTTTAAAAGATGTACACTTTTGCGAACTCCACGAACACTATTATATAATAAATATATAATTGTATATATTATATAAATACAATTGTAACATATTATTAAATTATTATATCTGTCTCTTATACACATCTTACACTTTTGCGAACTCCACGAACACTATTATATAATAAATATATAATTGTATATATTATATAAATACAATTGTAACATATTATTAAATTATTATATCTGTCTCTTATACACATCTTACACTTTTGCGAACTCCACGAACACTATTATATAATAAATATATAATTGTATATATTATATAAATACAATTGTAACATATTATTAAATTATTATATTATTATATTATTAAATTGTAATATATAGTAATATATTATATCTAATAAAATAAAAAAATATAATCCAATAAGATCATTAATGCATTAATGATCGTATTGTAGTATTAATACAATCAAATTAAAACGCATTAAAATTATTTATTTTTATTTATTCACATGTCGCGGTATTACACTTTGAAGGAGAGATCGTGCAGAGAGCTCGAAGAATCACTATGGCTGGACAGATCATCGACAAGTTAGGTAGACAGCTGACAATAACTCTAACATTCTTGCGAGGTGACACAAGCTCCAGCAGAGTTCCTCAGATATCCCGCCTTACACTGGCAGCCGATTACGCAGTTCTGAAACGACAACAAAGAAATCAGAATCGATCGTCTCGACTGTGTCAAAAGAATGATGCTGCTCGCTTTGAACATCGTACTAACTTTAGTGCAGGAACGCGGCTCGGGTTTACCGCAGGTGGGTGGACAAGCTATTCCGCAGGAAGTGAACTCTTCGTTCTCGTCGCACTGCTCTTGTATTGAACCTTGAAGAAAGTTACATATATTGATGACAGGATACACTGAGCTCACTAAGGACACTCGCAGCGATACTGATATGCCTCGAATCCTCGATCGAATCAAGGTTAAATTATTATCTTAACTGACGGAGTGCAGGAAATTCTCTCCAATTGAGCCGTTTATTTTGAAAGTGGCATAAGTCACTTTTTTTTTCTTTTTTTAAATCGAAAGATACCGTTCAATTGTAATTAGTGTTATCATTAACTCGATTTTTTTGAAAAAGTGACTTATGCCACTTTCAAAATAAACGGCTCAATTGTCGCTCAACATGTAAGCAGAAATGGACAATTTGGGAAGAGGAGACACGATTATTCGTGCTTCGCGGCACGTTTTTACAGTCGCCGATTGTCAAAAACTATAAAAAGGGGGGAGGCTCATGTTCCCAAATTGCCCATTTCTGTTCTCATGTCGAGCGACAATTGGAGAGAATTTACTGTGTTTCACTTACCAGCAGCGAACACCGCCAGAACGGCGAGAAGAAGGAAGCCGAAATGAAGACGGAACATTGTAGCACTGTTTTCTGTACAGCTTATGGTTCGATGCTAAAGCTCGTGGAAACTAGTTGTCTATTATGCGGCGACGTCGCGCCGGTCTAACGTTATATAGATCGCGAGAAGGTCATCGGTCAGCATTTTCATTAAACAATAACATCGATCAGCGCACAACGCATAACAGAATTATTTATTTTTATTTTCCGTAAAACCACTAACAGAGATAATACGTGTATTCCTATCTGCAATGTATAGAGATAATACGTACGCATATGCATATAAATCTGTGACACGCGATCCTTGATTAATTAAAAAACGGATCGGAGTAATCGATGGAATCGAATTGAAATGCAGTAACATTCAACGTTTATTTATTCACCTGCCGAGGCATTACACTTTGGAGCGGCGTCCAAACGGAAGGAGATATTCGGGGATCGACATGAATGGGTAGATCATCGATAAATTAGGCTGTCAGTAATTAGGCTAGCACTCCTGCAGGGTGACACAAGCTCCAACCGAGTTTCTCACGAATCCTGGCTTGCACTGGCAGCCGATAATGCAGTTCTAAATCGATACCAAAGAAATCGGGATTAATCGTCTAGACTGCGTCGAAAGAATGTTTGTCGCTCGCTTCGAACATCGTACTAACATAAGTGCAGGCGTACGGATCGGGTTGACTGCAAGTGGGTTCGCAAGCTGTCCCGCAGACATTGTACTCCTGATTCACGGGACACTCCTCTCCATTCGAACCTTGAAGAAAATCACACGTGTTGAAGAAGATCTGTGACCCTCTGGCCACGCTCGGCCGTTTCATGCGAGTTATACTAAGCTCACCGGGGGCACCCGCAACGGTAAGTACAATTTATAATCATTATACCGCGGATTTTTATGCAAGATAAAAAATGATCCGCGTCGATTACAAGATACGGAGGCTGCGTAGAGATTTCTTGCTTTATTTAAACATTTGATCCGCGTCGATTACAAGATACGGAAGCTGCGCAGATATTTCTTGCTTTATTTAAATATTTGATCGAGCTAGAAATAAAATAACAGTATCTTTTCGTTCTTTTCACGTTCATTTTTTCATTCTTTTCGCGGACTTTTATGCAAAATAAAAATGATCCGCGTCGATTACAAGATATAGAAGCTGCGTAGAGAATTCTTGCTTTATTTAAATATTTGATCGAGCTGGAAATAAAACGACAGTATTGTTTCGTTCTTTTCACGTTCATTTTTTCATTCTTTTCGCGGACTTTTATGCAGAATAAAAAATGATCCGCGTCGATTACAAGGTATAGAAGCTGCGCAGATGTTTCTTGCTTTATTTGAATATTTGATCGAGCTGGAAATAAGACAACGGTATTGTTTCATTCTTTGAATGTGGATTTTTTCATTCTTTTCGCGGACTTTTATGCAAAATCGAAATGATCCGCGTCGATTACAAGATGCGAAAGCTGCGCAGATATTTCTTGCTTTATTTAAATACTTGATCGAGCTGGAAATAAAATAACAGTATCTTTTCACGTTCATGTTTTCATCCTTTCCCTCTTAAATGCAAAAAATCCGCAGTCTAATAATCATCCTTCGACCGATCAGTTTTACTTACTAGCGGAAAACGCTGCGAGAACAGCGAGCAGAACGAAGACGAAACGAGACATTGCGGCACTGTTTCCTAGACAATTTTATAACATGCACTGATATCGGCGGGAACTAGTTCTCTCTTATATATAGCGCATCTATCTGCATCTATCGCGGTGTCGTAAGATGGACAACGATCGGCGTCTTCGTTTCACAAACACATCGACCTCCCGGATTGTACAGCGAACCGAATCATTTTTACCGAGGTTGTCTTGGCGTAGAAAAAGTTATTATCGCTGATAGTACGTACATTCGATCTTTGCGCGTATTCAAGGGGTTGGAAAGGGTTATCTGTGATCGCGGCTGCGTAAAAATACGAAGCACTTTCTCGATGCTCTTCTCTGATGCGTTTTGATCGCCACGAATCAAACCGAGGAGGTTTTATCCGAGATCATTTATGATTTCGATTCAGCCCAATCCGCGTTGCGAATTTTCTTATATCTACGAAGTTCGCCAGGACAGAATAAATCAGAATAACATTGAAATGCGTTGAAATTCAGCGTTTATTTATTCCCAGCCGAGACATTACTCTTTGGAGGAGCGTCCGGGCAGAACGAGACATTCGTAGATCATTCGTAGATGAGCTGGTCGTCGATAAATTAGGCAGATCGTTGCCAGGAACGCTAACAGCTTCCCGGACTGACGCAAACTCCGCCGGAGCTTCTCAGGAATCCTGGCTTACACTGGCAGCCGATTACGCATTGCTAAACGGATAAGCAAAGAAATCAGGATTAATCGTTCGGTCTGTGTCGAGAGAAAAATGCTCGCTCGAACATTATTATATTCTACCAACCATAGTGCAGATCTGCGGCGACGGGTTGCTGCAAGAGGGTTCGCAAGCTGACCCGCAGGAATTGAACTGCTCGTTCTCGCCGCACTGCTGTCCATACGAACCTTAAAGAAGATTACACGCGTTGGAGAATATCCGTGATCCTCGGGCCACGATTAGGCCACTTTCAGACGGGTCACGTTGAGTCCACTCGGGACAATTTCAACGCCGAACCTACCGCGGTGAAAATGACCTTATTCTGCGATTCTGTCGAGTTTAAAGACTCTTTCGCGGAAAATGCTCGAATAGATTACATTACTGGAGCAAGCAATTGTTATTTAGTCGAGCATTTTCCATGGAAGAGTCTTCTAAACTTTACGTTAACAATTTAACTGCCGCGTCGCTCATATATCGCTGACGGAATTATTTACTCAGATTTCAGTATAATTTATATCACATCTTCCTAATTTTATTAGGCTCTGCGAAACGTAAGAATGTCGACCAAGTAATTTTAATTTTTTACTAAATAAGAAACTTTCATTTTATTTAATCTTCGAGGTCAAAGGCGCGGCGCTCAAAGTGTCAACGATCGCGCGTCCGTCGAACGCCCAATCGGGCCGGCTCGAACTGTGTCACTTACCAGCACTGAACACTGCCAGAACGGCGAAGAGGATGAAGAATGAACGAGTCATGGTAGCACTGGATCCTAGATAGCTCGTAATCGGCACTGAAACTAGCGGAAACTAGCTGGCTCTTATATAGCGACGATACGTCGGTCTATCGTTACGTCGATTGCGCCGTCGTCAGGCGAGAAACAATCAGCACACTCGTTTCCCAAGCGCATCCATTCGGAATCATTTTTTCCCCGAGAATTTCCTTGTGTGCTAAAATTATTATCGCAGGCGATCCTTACGTATATACATACATACATGCATACGTGTGTACATTTGGTGTGTGCGTGGTATCAGCGGTTAGCGGGGCCAGCTTTGTTCGAGGAACTATAAAGTATACGGGCCGTTTCCGGGGGAGCATATGGCGGGACAAGGCGTTGAACTATTTCATTTACCGCTACTGTGTTCGGCCCGCCGCGGTTCTCTCGAGAAGCTGAAAGACTCTCTCCCGATCTGCGGGGTTCGCGCGTTTTTGTCCTCGCGAGTCAAACTCGAGGGGTGCGCGCCCAAGGCTCGGGGTCGGGGCTGAATTTTGGGGATGTACTCCGTGTTTAGCGGCGATGAATGCCTCCGAGCTTATAGGTGTCTCGTTACCGAACTCTGTCAATATTTTCATCGTCGCAACTGCTCGGGGAACATAAATCTGCGACGATTTATAAGCATCGGCGTCCACCCCATCGATTTTAACGATCCTTGTGTACAGTGGCTCGCGTAACCGTTCGAACAATTTTCTAACAAAATGGACCAAATTGCAGGAATCGGTTTATTAAACATCGTCTATGTTATTTGTGTTTCATTTATTTTATTTTATTTTTATTTATTCTATCATATTTTATATTTTTGTGTATTATATTTATATTATTATATTATTATATTATTATATTATTATATTATTATATTATTATATTATTATATTATTATATTATTATATTATTATATTATTATATTATTATATTATTATATTATTATATTATTATATTATTATATTATTATATTATTATATTATTATATTATTATATTATTATATTATTATATTATTATATTATTATATTATTATATTATTATATTATTATATTATTATATTATTATATTATTATATTATTATATTATTATATTATTATATTATTATATTATTATATTATTATATTATTATATTATTATATTATTATATTATTATATTATTATATTATTATATTATTATATTATTATATTATTATATTATTATATTATTATATTATTATATTATTATATTATTATATTATTATATTATTATATTATTATATTATTATATTATTATATTATTATATTATTATATTATTATATTATTATATTATTATATTATTATATTATTATATTATTATATTATTATATTATTATATTATTATATTATTATATTATTATATTATTATATTATTATTTTATTATACTATTATATTATTATATTTTCTTTCTATAATATATAGTTTTCTTCTGCAAATCACTAAACACTTTATATTTTCTTTATTATTAACTGTCAGAACACGCGCAGTTTCATTCGTTAACAACCTAAATAATATTTTCAATAATTGCAATTAATTGGAACGACAAGAAACAGTATATGCAGGACAAAAATTTAAACAGTGCAGTTTCATAGGTCAAGTAAACTGCAATTAAAAATTATTCAGCCTAGGTATTATTCAGTCTCTCTAAAGTCTTCTTAAGTCTTCCAATGAACAAGCTTTCCCTCCAAAAAATTCAAGTCGTTGCATACAAATCGAAAAAAAATTGCACGCTTTTAAAAGTGTCCCAACGCTTTCGCGAATAACCATTTCCATAATCGATCTTTTCGTTGCTCGCGCTAAAGTTTCTTTGACCGTAAAGTCGAGAATGATTCAGCAACGAATCGGTCGCGGTTCCGCGGTGTCGGGCACGACGTTGGAATTACTTTCGCCGATCCCCACGAATTTTTTACCATCCGTGATGTATCCGAGCTCTCTCGCGCGCGCGATCCTCGGCGAGCACTCAGCCGAGCGCGTACCGAGAATTTCTCAAGCCGATCTCCATAGAGGGTGGCCAGGCAGGCTCCGCAGTTAAATCTCCGCGAGTGGATACTTCTCGGCTACAACGGATGTCATTTTTCTCACGGGGAAACCGGGCAACGCTATCGATATCATCGTCAGGCCTCTGCGAGCGGCCGGCAAATAAACGTCCGACGATTGCCGCGCAGCCGAGGTCCACTTTACAGAGGGTGAATTCTCTTAACGTTCCCTTTATTTTCGGTCGCCTTCGAGTTCTCTTTTCGTACGGCGTCGAGGGAACGCGCGTCTTCCGATCGATCGATTTTCCACGATGCACGCCATACCTTCGTCCTTCCTCACCTACTTTCTCCCCTGTCGGTAGGCTCTTGGTTGGAGGAAGCCTGGATGGCGCGAGCTTTAACAAAATTCTCGAGACTTGAAAAAGAAGCGGGATAGGAGCTTGAAACAATGTTCCTCAATGTTGCCGATGCATAAAAAACTGGGTCGACAAATATAGTAAAAAGGAAATGGAAAATTAAAGGTAACGATGACGATGATAACGATTGTAAATTAAATGGCAATAGAAGAGGAAAACAAAATGTAATAATTGATAATAGTAATAGTATAAAGTTAGAATTTAATAGATAATAAAGACAGAATAATAGAGTAATAAAGACTACAATAGTAATAATAGTAATAATAATAGAATAATAAAGACTACAATAGTAATAATAGTAATAATAATAAAATAATAAAGACTACAATAATAATAATAGTAATAATAATAGAATAATAATAATAGTGATAATAATAGAATAATAAAGACTATAATAATAATAATAATAATAGTAATAATAATAGAATAATAAAGGCTTGAATAATAATAATAGTAATAATAACAGAATAATAAAAACTAGAATAATAATAGTAGTAATAATGATAGAATAATAAAGACTAGAATAATGATAATAGTAATAATAATAGAATAATATTATTAATTATTATAAATAATAATAGAATAATAATAAAGACAGAATATATTTAAGTTCCTCGCCACTTTTATTACACAGCCTACGTCTCACTTAAGAAATTCATCGAATAAAAATTGCGAATCTGGACATTTTGGCCAGCATGGCCGGCTTGGCGTTAATGAAACTTCTCCGAGCCGGGCAACATCTGACCTCGGGGCGCGAAGCCGTGCGAAGAATATCGACAAAACGTGTCGGCGCGATCAGGATACAATGTATGTACCTGCCGAGCGGTGCGTCCGCGCGGAACGGATGCAAAAGGTGCAGCTTAGGCTGCAATTGCAGCTGACCGGCTGAGTCACCGTGTGTCGGGTCATGCCGATCGCGATAGCACGGCATTCACGATGGGCCTGCCGGGTGACTCGGCGACAGGTACGTGACAGCGAAACGATGAGACACCAACGCGAATCGATCGTCCGCCTTCTTTAGGCCGGCTCGTTGCGCGCTAATTACGGCGAATGGAAATCGAGAGGCTCTCGCCGGATCGGCGAGGTATCGGTTCGCCGGCTTAATAGAAATCTTTGTCGTCCCCTGCGCCCTCCTGTCGGCCGACCTCCACGACCAGCAGCCTATTTATCTTGCTCACGATCGTTATTTCGTTCGTCCCGGTCGACAGCCTCGGCCCGATACTGCCCGACAAGCATCCGGCCGCACCACCCAATCATTTTTCCGACCGATTTGCCGATCATTCGTACGAGCGAGCGCCCGCACCCAGCAAATAGCCGGCTGAGATCGGGGAGCCCGAGGAAACGGGCCACTCGCCGAGGCCCATGAAAATATCCGAACCCGGCGAAATTCCGCGGGGAAGTTTTACAAATCGGCCACCCGGCTGTTCCATTAACGCCGCGACTTCGACTGATGATTCCCGCCGACGATTTACCTTCTCTTAGAACCACGGAGGGTGCGTTCGGCCCTGGAAATTTATTCAGACCTTTCCGTCGTTGCCTATTGCCACGGCCACGGCCGGGAAATCGGGGCAAGGCTGGATTTCTCTGCCAGAATATTCTCGAATCTTTCTGATGTTATGGGGGATGAGGCTAGTTCAAGGTGTTGCGTTATTTATAATTTTTCTTACACGTTGTGCACGATAGATCTGCTTCGAACGAATGACAGAACTGAAACGTAAATTTCGGCATAATCGTGTTCCATTGTTTCGGAAATAATGTTAAACGTTTTCGCCTGATGACAATATCTGAAGGGGGTACGTATACGGCGAGAACGTTTAAATGACGGAAATAGTATTTATTAAACATGTGCCACAGAAATAAAATCTTGAAAATATTAAGGTCTGCTGTTTCTTTCTTGTTCAACGTGCTAAAGATGAGATAAAGGCTAAAGAATATAAATTAAAAATTATAAGTTACGCAATTTTTTTATTTATCGAGATCTTTATTTCTCCCTAGTGAAGATATTTTCACCCCCTCTGTTTCAGATTAATTCAGATTAATATTTCTGGATGACAAAAATACTGTACACACTGACAAGCTGAGTGAATATATCTGGAAAATTTCGATACAAAATAGCGTACCTATCGTTCCAAAAAAATTCACAAAGAGAACCGAAAATGTATCAATCCAGACAGCAATCCCTTCTTAAATGAATACCAATGAGAGCTTTGTGTTACTTTGAGAAATATGTACGAAATCTTCAAATTTGCTTTACCATTAAATTACTTTACTATTACCATTAATTAATATTGTATATCTATAAACAGCAACTTCGACGAGAGGGGTAGTTTTTAGAAAAGCATTTGACGCGTAAGATAAAAGCAGCCTCTAAAAAGCTAGCGATAAAGAGTACACTTTGACACTTTGGTCACCATAAAAACAACCTTAATCTCCTCGTAAAATAATTTTATTCTGCCCAAAGATCCTCAGTCATAATTTGTAGGGATGAGAATCGGAAAGAGTGGAGAAATAATTGCTCGATCGAGCCGAGCCATCGAGCGCATCGAGCCATCGTTTATCCGCGGATCTCGCAGTTCCCGTTCATCGATCGGTGACCTTCAGGCAGCCACG